CAATAACAACAGCAACAATCACAGCAATCAAATCAACAAAATCACAATGAGCTATAACGACATAGATAATCACAATACTGACAGGAAAAACAACGACACCAACAAAGACATATAACAATAAAGATATAAAAACAACAACAACAAAACAAAAACAAAGATATGACAGAACAGTAACAGTTACGAACTTGTGTTTATTGCTCTAGGCCCTTGTACATTGGCCAAATCTTCAGCTCTTCCTTTAAAAAAAAATATAAAAAACTCTAAATAATAGTAAAAATATTTAAAAGTTAAAAAAATGTAAACAGAAAATATCTTAAATACAAAAAATCGCATCTAGAATATAAAAATCATCACAATCAATCAATCAATTAATTTTCGTTTTGCGTCCAGAGACCCGGTTTCCCGAGGTAGGACGTAAAAATCATCACAATCACCATCACAAACATCATAATCATCATCATCACAAACATCATCACCATCATCACAAACATCATCATCACCATCACCTTGACCACCATCATCTTCTTTATCACCCTCATCATCATTCCCCATCATCATGATCTTCACCACCATCATCTTCATCACCATGTATGCCCCTGAACAAACTTTGAATGGATCTTATATGTTCATTAATCATGGACACGATATTGGAATGACCTCTGAACATGGCTAAGGTCAAGGCCGAATGTTTGTGCTTGTTCTTGCGCCGAACATCCACGCCCTTTGTTTGCGAATAAATTATAATAAATTATAACGAGTGATTAAGAACAACGAACAAAAAATTCTGTTACCTACTTTCTGAATGAAGTATTGGATGATGACTTCGTGACCTGCATTCGCCGCCTCCATAAATGGGGTCATGCCGTTGACTGGCTCGCTGCACCGCATGAATAATAACTTATTTTAATTAAAAATATAATTTATCATAATTACAAAAAATATATGCCATAATAACAACTAATTATCATAATTTATTAAAAACTTTCCTAATTATCATAATTTATCATAAACCTACCTAATCATCTTAATTTATTAAAAAGCTTGCCTAATTATCATAATTTATTAAAATCCTACTTATATACCATAATTTATTAAAAACATGCCCAATTATCATAATTTATTATAAACCTACCTAATTATCACAATTTATTAAAAACTTGCCTAATTATCATAATTTATTAAAAACTTGCCTAATTATCATAATTTATCTAAAAAACCTGCCTAATTTCAGGATCAGCCCCCAGTTGCAGAAGGCACTTGACGACATTTTGATGGCCTGAGTAAGTTGCGTGATACAAGGCTGTCCATCCTTTGCCATCCACACCATCTATGTCTGCTCTTTGCTATTTAGTGTTTTTTTAATTTAAAATTTAACTTAATTTTAGATTTTAGAAAATTAGTTTTCCTTAATAAATGTTTTAGTATTAACCATTTAATTGAATTAATGAATGAATGAACAAATGTTTAAATAAATAAATAAATCAATCAATAAATTAGATGAATGAATGATAGATTTATTTAGAGATCAATGTAAAAATAAAAAAATGAATGAATTAATGATCTGAATGATTAAATGATAGAGTTATACTAATAAATGGTTTAGATAAATGAATGAATGAATGGTTTAGATGAATGAATGAATGATTTATTTCAGCAGAAGTTCCGAACCTACCTCAACAAGCATGCAAACAATTTCATCATTCCCACAGCTGGCAGCCAACATCAGTGGCGTCATCTGTTTATCGTTTGTGGCATTCACACAGGCTCCAGCTTCCAATAAAAGATTCACTATTTTGTCATGGCCTGTATATGAGGCATACATCAGAGGGGTCCAGCCGCCTTTGTTCTTTTCGTCAATTAGGACGTTTTGTCTAGAAAAAAATTTAGGAAAAAAGTTTTGTAAAATACTTTCCTGAAAACTTAGGTAAAACATTTTATCATAATTAAAAAAATTTAAAACTATATTAAAATTTTTTTTAAAGTATTATTATAATTGTTGAAATGTTGATAAAAACAACATTTAAATAAACTTTAAAAAAATTTATTATATTAATTATTAATTAATTAAAGTAGTAAGTAAAGAACTTTTTTTTAAATTTGAAAAAATGAACCTTTTCACAATCTCCCTGACACAATCATAATGGCCGATACTACATTCCATGTGCATATTCAAACAGACAGGGGTCAAACCCGGATCAGGTTCGTAGGAAACTTCCCTGTCGTCTGCTTCATCATCTCTTTTTAAACTTTTTTCCTGTTTCCCAGTCCAAAAACTCAAACTTTTGTCTGAGAAACTATCACTGTTGGAGTAATCGGAAGCGTCAAACAAGCATCCATCCGACATTTTTAATTTTTTTAAATTATAATATTAAATTTTGTAGAAAAACGAATGAAATGTAACTGATTTAAATTTTAAAAGACCACTTTTTAATCTCTTTGAAAAACCCAGCAAGGTGATTCACTTTTAAAAAGCAAACGTTAGACAACTTGGTGAGACTTTACTCTAGCGACGACTTTTTAACATTTTTTTTCTAGTTATATTTTTTTTTATTATTCTTTAAAAATCAGGATCTGACTGACGCAGAAACTGTAACAACATGCAAGGCAGTAGAAAAAAATTAAACAAATAAGTGAGAAAATAAATACAAAAAGTGGAGCACATAACTAGAATAAATAAATTCGGTCAATCGGTCGAGCTATTTGACATTTGGATTGTTGGCTTATGAAATTGCATGGATTTTAACGAGCAAGTTATTTGAAATATTTACCTGACTTAATATGCTTAAAACATTGTAGTAATTCTATTTAATTTTATTTAATTGAATTAGGTATTATTAAATTATTTTTGTTAATTTGATTATAAAAATTGCTTTTGGTCCGGTGAAATCCGGTGGATCAATCAAATCAATCAATCAATCAACCAACAAATCAATCAACCAATCAACCATTCATTCAACTAATCAACCAACCAGTCGACCAATCAATGAACCAAATTGAATGAACCAAAACGAAAAAAAAACAAAAAAATAAAAAAAAAAATATTTGCAAGGCTTGTTCAAACTCTTAAGGCTCAAAGGCTTAACCGTACAAACAATTTTGAGATTTTAGTGAAGAAAGAAAAACACAATGGCTGCTTTTATTTGAATTCACTCAAAAATAAAAAGTGACGCTTAATTAAAATTTTAAAAAAGTCAATTATTTTAAAAATTCATATTTTAAACAAACAAATATAACAAAGTATCGACCGATAGAAAATAATTATTATCCATTGTTATTATTATTATTATACACACTCTTTAGTAGTTCTCGGAGAATGATTCACGTAACATGAACATTTAGTAAGAACAGTTCACAGCATATCAAAATGACTAAACCAACATACCAAACAGAAGTTAATTATACATGCATATATACAAAGTAAATCAAGAAATATCCGAAAATTATATAACCAAATTAAAAAAAAACTAGAAACCAGTCAACATTCAAAAATTAAATAAATAGACATTATTAAAAAGATTGTTCAAAAAGGTAAAATCTAAGGCGACGACGAGAATAAAATGTAGTTTGTTTTGTTGGTGTGGTGTTGTGAAGCGAAAACATACAAACACATCACACAAAACTAGTAAGAAGTCGCAAGAATAGTAGTCAGTCACCTACCTACAATTAAATTACTCTCAGGGCCCTAGCTTACTTATAATCATTAACTCAGCTCACCTACCTACAAATATGTATTTCTACGTTTTAGGAATTTTACATGTTTCAGATATTTTATTTAACATATTTTAGCGTTTTTATTTTGAAAGTTTTTAACTAATGTTAAGCCCTAGCCTACCTACGATTGTTCAACTCATCTCAATCCCTAACTTACCTATGAATTAAATTAAGTCCGGTAAAGAAAATAGAAAGTTGAAGAGAAACATAACAACAACAACACCGTATGAATGGATGTTGTGTATGTGTGTGTTGTATTGATGTGGGTGTATGTAAATGTGCGGGCATGAACTCTCTAGAAACTTCTTCACTCACTACCAACGAACCTCCATTGCACCGACCATCATCTGATACGCATCGACGGAATGAATTTGACCGGATACCGAAAAACACTAAATTGAAAAAAAAATTAATTCATTAAAATAAAAAACAAGCCGTTGGAAAAAATAGGCAGCTCACCTTTTTGAGATATCAATCCTTTGTTCAAATTCGAGTACTTTCAAAAACAAATATCTCTTTAATATCTTCAAATTGTCATCGGAACGATCATCATGAGACCATCATCTGAAACGTGCTGACGCCCACCACAGCCCACCTCTCACCATTCTGTAGACATTTTTTTAGCCTAGTAGTAAATCAAGGAACGAACGAATAAATGATTAACTGAATGACTGAATAATGGTTGAATGAATGATTCAATAATTGAATAGAATGTATTAGCAATTACCAGTTAATGTAAAAATAATTAAAAAGATTGAGTGATAAAATGAACGAATGAATGAATGAGAAAAATAAAAAAATGAAACTAAACCTTACTTCGAAAATCGTCGTTACTGTACTTCATTGCACCGACCACCATCATCTGATCGGCACACAAGATGTCATCCGAACAGCAGAATCTCAGTCGAACAGCCAACGCGCTGATTCTTCCTACACGACCATCATCATGTGTAAATCATCATGAGACCACCATCTGAAACGTGTTGACTCCCACCACTGCCCACCTCTCATCATTCTGTAGACAAAATTTTTTTATTAGCGTAGTAGTAAATGAATGTTAGAATACTAGATGCAAAAATTTATAAAATGAAAATAATGGCAAATAAATAATAATTTAAAATAATAAAGAGAAAAATGTAAAATAAAACTTACCGTCGTCCATTCGACAAAGGCAGAATGTTGAATGCGGTCCGGTTCCTACGTTGTCCTCCAAAACTGGTGCCAGTCCTCCTCGAGATTTTTGTTGAAACACAGCCCATGGAATAGAGAAAAAGAAAACTCTCATCAGAAAGCTTAGTGGTGCTTGCATCTCAAATTGCTTAATAAAAATAATTCTATCTACCTATTCAATTACCTTAACTAATATATATAAAATTATTAATGGTACGATAGTCGAAAGTCCCCCTTCAGAGTCTATCGGCTATCGTACCCTCAACTTACCTATTCATTACAATTAAGCCTTAGCTTACTTAAAATTACAAAACTCAAGAGCCCAATTCATTGGCCTTTCGGCACCCACCCCACCACCTACGTAATGCCTTGGGCTCCGACTTAGTAATAATAATATAAAACTTAAACCCTAAATCTATTTATGAGTATGTGTTACAGCGTAGCCTTAACTTACCTATTCATTACATTACAGCCCTAGCTTACCTAAAATTACAAAACTCAAGAGCCCAATTCATTGGCCTTTCGGCACCCACCCCACCACCTACGCAATGCCTTGGGCTCCAACCTAATAATAATAATATAAAACTTGAATGAATGAATGAATGAGTGGAAGAGTGAATGAATAAGAAGATTAGTGAATCACCAACACTATATAATAATATAAAATATAACACTATATAATAATATATAATCAATAACTCTACATATCTATATATAAATCTATATAAACGCATATAACACTATATAATATTATATAACTAATAACTCTACATAACTATATATAAATCTATATAACCGTATATAACACTATGTAATAATTTATAACCAATATCTGTACATAACTATATAAAAGTCTATATAACCGTATATAACATTATATAATAATATATGATCAATAACTTTACATAACTATATATACATCTATATGACTGTATATAACATTATATAATAATATATAATTAATAACTCTACATAACTATATATAAATATATATAACCGTATATAACACTATATAATAATATATAACCAATAACTCTACATAACTATATAAAAATCTTTATAACCGTATATAACACTATACAATATTATATAATCAATAACTCTACACAACTATATATTACTCTATATAACCGCATATAACACTATATAATATTATATAACCAATAACTCTACATAACTAAATATACATTTATATAACCGTATGTAACACTATATAATAATATATATCCAATAACTCTACATAACTATGTATAAATCTATGTAACCAATATCACAACATAACTATATAAAATTCTATATAACCGTATAAAACATTATATAATAATATATAATAAATATCTCTACATAACTAAATATACATCTATATAACCGTATATACCATTATATAATAATATATAATTAATAACTCCACAAAACTATATATAAATCTATATAACCGTATATAACCTTATATAATAATATATAATCAATAACTCTACATAACTATATATAAATCTATATAACCGTGTATAACACTATATAATATTATATAACCAATAACTCTACATAACTATATAAAAATCTATATAACCGTATAAAACGCTATATAATAATATATAATCAATAACTCTACATAACTATATATAAATCTATTTAACCGCATATAACACTATATAATAATACATAACCAACAACTCTACATAACTATATATAAATCTATTTAACCGCATATAACACTATATAATAATACATAACCAACAACTCTACATAACTATATATAAATCTATTTATCCGTTTATAATACTATATAATATTATATAACCAATAACTCTACATAACTAAATATACATCTATATAACCGTATGTAACACTATATAATAATATATATCCAATAACTCTACATAACTATGTATAAATCTATATAACCGTATATAACACTATATAATAATATGTAACCAATAACTCTACATAACTATATATAAATCTTTATAAATGTATATAACACTATAATAATAAATATATACAATAACTATACATAACTATATATAAATCTATATAACATTAGATCGATCGATCTATTGGATTGATTGATTGATTAATTGTCTGATTGATTGATTGATTGATTGATTAATCAACCAACCAATCGACCAATCAATGAACCAAATTAAATGAACCAAATAAACGAAAATAAAATGTTTGGAAGCCTGGTTCAAACTCGAACAAATACTTAACCGTATTGATCTACAAACATTTTATTAAGATTTTAGTAAAGAAAGACAAACACAGTAGTTGCTTTTATTTGAATCCATTCAAAAATGAAGTGACGGTTAAATAAAATTTTAAAAAGTAAATTTTTTTATAATTAGTATTTTAAACAAACAAATTTAACAAAATATTGACCGACAAAAAATAATTATTATCCATTAGTATTATTTATTATACACACCCCTTAGTAGTTCTCGGAGAATGATTCGCGTAACATGAACATTTAGTAAGAACAGTTCACAGCATATCAAAATGACTAAATCAACATACCAAACAGAAGTTATTTATACATGCATATATACTAAGTAAATTAAGAAATATCCGAAAATTATATAACCAAATTAAAAAAAACTAGAAACCAGTGAACATTTTAAAAATAAATAAATAAACACACATTGTTAAAAAGATTGTTCAAAAAGATAAAATTTAAGGCAATGGCTGCTTTTATTTGAATTCACTCAAAAATAAAAAGTGACGCTTAATTAAAATTTTAAAAAAGTCAATTATTTTAAAAATTCATATTTTAAACAAACAAATATAACAAAGTATCGACCGATAGAAAATAATTATTATCCATTGTTATTATTATTATTATACACACTCTTTAGTAGTTCTCGGAGAATGATTCACGTAACATGAACATTTAGTAAGAACAGTTCACAGCATATCAAAATGACTAAACCAACATACCAAACAGAAGTTAATTATACATGCATATATACAAAGTAAATCAAGAAATATCCGAAAATTATATAACCAAATTAAAAAAAAACTAGAAACCAGTCAACATTCAAAAATTAAATAAATAGACATTATTAAAAAGATTGTTCAAAAAGGTAAAATCTAAGGCGACGACGAGAATAAAATGTAGTTTGTTTTGTTGGTGTGGTGTTGTGAAGCGAAAACATACAAACACATCACACAAAACTAGTAAGAAGTCGCAAGAATAGTAGTCAGTAACCTACCTACAATTAAATTACTCTCAGGGCCCTAGCTTACTTATAATCATTAACTCAGCTCACCTACCTACAAATATGTATTTCTACGTTTTAGGAATTTTACATGTTTCAGATATTTTATTTAACATATTTTAGCGTTTTTATTTTGAAAGTTTTTAACTAATGTTAAGCCCTAGCCTACCTACGATTGTTCAACTCATCTCAATCCCTAACTTACCTATGAATTAAATTAAGTCCGGTAAAGAAAGTAGAAAGTTGAAGAGAAACATAACAACAACGACACCGAATGAATGGATGTTGTGTATGCGTGTGTTGTATTTATCTGGGTGTATGTAAATGTGCAGGCGTGTACTCTCCAGAAACTTCTTCGCTCAATACGGATGAACCTCCATTGCGCTGACCATCATCTGACACACATCGATGGAATGAATTTGATCGGATATCAAAAACACTAAATTGAAGAAAAAATAATAATTGATTAAAATAAAAAAAAGCCATTGGAAAAAATATGCAACTTATCTTTTTGAGATAACACTCAATCCTTTGTTCAAATTTGAGTACTTTAAAAGGTACAATGGGACAAAAACAAATTTACCTTTAAAATTATTTTAGAATTGTCATCGGAACGATCATCATGAGACCACCATCTGAAACGTGCTGACGCCCACCACAGCCCACCTCTCATCATTCTGTAGACAAGTTTTTTTTAATTAGCGTGTTGGTAAATCAAGAAACAAAGGAACGAACGAATAAATGATTAATGAATGATTGAACGATTGGTTGAATGAATGAATGAATTAATTAATCAATCAATGATTTGATGAATAAATAGAATGAATCAATGAATCAATAAATAGAGGAATAATTTGAAAGATAGTGATAAAATGAATGAATTAATGAGAAAAAGAAGGAACCAAACCATACATCAAAAACCGTCGTTGTTGTTTTCTTCGAATTGTCATCGGAACGATTATCATGAGACCACCATCTGAAACGTGCTGATGCCCACCACAGCCCACCTCTCATCATTCTGTAGACAAATTTTTTATTAGCTTAGTAGTAAATCAAGGAACACATGAACGAACGAACAAATAAATGATCAACTGAATGATTGAATAATTGGTTGAATGAATGAGAGAATGAATGAAAGGATAAATCAATCAATGATTCAATTAATGAATAGAATGAATTAACGAATCAATTAATGGAAGAATTATTTTAAAGATTGAGTGATAAAATAAACGAATAAACAAATGAAAAAAATAAAAAACGAAACTAAACCTTACTTCAAAAATCGTCGTTACTGTAATCCATTGCACCGACCACCACCATCTGGTCGGCACACAAGATGTCATCCGAACTTTTGATTGTCAGTCGAACAGCCAACGCGCTGATTCTTTCTACACAACCATCATCATACGTAAATCATCATGAGACCACCATCTGAAACGTGCTGACGCCCACCACTGCCCACCTCTCATCAGTCTGTAGACAAGTTATTTTTATTAGCTTAGTAGTAAATGAATGTTAGAATCTTAGAAGCAAAAAATTATAAAATGGAAATAATGGCAAATAAATAATATTTGAAAATAATAAAGAGAGTAAAATGTAAAAAAAACTTACCGTCGTCCATTCGACAAAGGCAAAATGATGAGTGCCTTCCGTTTCCTGCGTTGTCCTCCAAAACTGGTGCCAGTCCTCCTCGAGATTGTTGTTGAAACACAGCCCGTGGAATGGAGAAACAAAAAATTCTCATTAGAAAGCTTAGCGGTGCCTGCATCTTAAATTGCTTAATAAAAATAATCCTATCTACTTATTCAATTACCTTAACTAATCTATAATAAATTGTTAATGGTACGATAGTCGAAAGTTCCCCTTCATTCTCCCTCCTTGCACAGAGGTTCACCGACAGCCAGGGCACCGGATAGTAAACCATTGCCGTGCGGATAGTAGACTACTGCCTTGCGGATAGTAAACCATTTGCCGTCCGGAAGCCGTGCGGGTAGTAGACTATGGCCATGCCGCATAGTAAATCATTACCGTCCGGATAGTAAACCATTGCCGGTTCACCACTGGCCGCCAAGGCTTACCTCTGACAAGAGACTTCAAAATTCAGAGTCTATCGGCTATCGTACCCTCAACTTACCTATTCATTACAATTAAGCCCTAGCTTACCTAAAATTACAAAACTCAAGAGCCCAATTCATTGGCCTTTCGGCACCCACCCCACCACCTACGTAATGCCTTGGGCTCCAACTTAGTAATAATAATATAAAACTTAAACCCTAAATCTATTAATGAGGATGTGTTACAACGTAGCCTTAACCTACCTATTTATTACATTACGGTCCTAGCTTACCTAAAATTACAAAACTCAAGAGCCCAATTCATTGGCCTTTCGGCACCCACCCCACCACCTACGTAATGCCTTGGGCTCCAACTTAATAATGATAATGTAAAACTTAACAATTAACCTACCTATCGATACACTTACAGCGTTTTAATTTACATTACAAGATTTTTCCTAGAATTACATTATTGCTCTTAACTACCTATGAAATTAAATTACTCTCAACCTTAGTAATAATAAATTAGAATGTGTAATGAAAATAAAATTACGCTCAAATGCTAACATATGTGTTTATGTATGTATTTGTGTGTGTGTGTGTAATACGCTGGTGCGTGTAATGTGGGTGCAAGATAAAATAGAAGAGATAAACTTACGCTGCCTACCTATTAAACTACATTAGTGTTGGATGCTCCCTATCTATCCTACCTACAATTAAAATTAGGCCTATCTAACCTACCTATATAGCTACTTAATGTAATTGTGTGTGCGTGTGTGTGCGTGTGAGCATTCCTACTTAATGTTAAATTACAGAAAAAAAGAAGAAAACGTATCCCAGTAAGGCAGGTATTCTTTGCCACTAAATGAACGAACGTAGCCTGACATCTTCCATGATGAACTCCTCTGGAAGCTTCAACCTGAATGAAACGAAAAAATCCTATTTAATTAATTAATTTAAATGAAAATAGAGAAACGAGCCGCGGTGAAATCCACCAGCCGGAAAAGACAGCAAACTGGCAAAAAAAGAAACCGTTAAGAAACCGTCGGAAGTTAGGGTTAAGGTTGAACGTGGGGTGACATCACAACCATTCTGATCCTCCACGACGAACTCCTCTGGAAGCTATAACCTGAATGAATGAACCTGAATGAACCTAGATGAATGGACAAATCTTATTTATTTAATTAATTTAAATGAAAATAGAGAAACGCAAAGAAGCCGACCGGTCGGCAAAGAAAAGAACTTCAAAGAAAGGTATCTATATAGGATTTACGCTCTATATAACTCTATATAACTCTATATAACTCTATATAACTCTATATAACTCTATATAACTCTATATAACTCTATATAACTCTATATAACTCTATATAACTCTATATAACTCTATATAACTCTATATAACTCTATATAACTCTATATAACTCTATATAACTCTATATAACCATGCATACTACTACATTCAATCAATAAAATCCCACTAAAACCAGGAACCACCGCGTACCTGTTATATGTATGGTGTGAAACAAAGCAAAAAAAAAACAAAACAAAAAATACACCCTAAGTAGAGTAAAAGAATAGAAGTCCCTAACTTACCTATGTAACTAAATTACCTTATGCCCTAGCCTACCTATATAATAAATTAATCTCAATCTCACCTACCTATGTTTCATTAACTTAACTCAAGACTCATGAAGAAAGAGGAAAAAGAGTAAAACAGAACATAAAATACTAACACAGAAGCAAACATGATGTATGTATGTTTGTATGTGCAACCGCTAAAGAACCCCCCTAAAATATAAAAAAATACAACATACAAACCACAGACATGCAAACTCTATATAACTCTATATAATAAAATAAATAAAAATAAATAAATTATAAAAATAAAATAAATGAGATCAGACAGACTGCTTCAAGCGAGGCAGAATGCCTGATCTGATTATAATGTTGTCTCAGCTCGTATTTATACTCGTTTCAACCATACATTTTCATCATTTCAATAATTCACATCAGTGAAAAACTTATTTAATGTATGTACTACACTGTTATACAGTCTCAACCACAATGCTAACCGTACTAAATTGACGTCATCGAACGAACGCCTTCGAAACTTTCTGATTGGTTGGTTGAATCTGCTATATTGCATTTTATATAAACATATAATTTTATTAAATATTTGTATACATGGATTCTAGTTACTTCGGGAAGAATTCAAAATAGTTTAAGACCACACCTTGCTTAACATCCGATTCCGAGCCAAGCAAAGCCGAGCCAAGCCGAGCCAAGCCAAGCTGAGCCAAGCCAAGCTGAGCCAAGCCAAGCCGAGCCAATATGGGTAGATTTATAAACTCTTTTATATTAAAATTTTGCTCGCTTTATATACAAATATTCCAATATAACAAGTTCTCCATCCTATTTTTAAAATTTTCTTTGATGCTTTTTAATCAGTCAGGTCACAAAAATCATTATCGATATCGCGATGAAATCAAATTGAAATTTTTTTTAAATTGTTGATAAAAGTAACTATAGTATATAGTAAAAAGTTTAAATTTTTTTGAGAGAATTCAAGATAATTTGAGACTACACCATAACACAATTGTACAATTTGAATGTGTAAATATATATATCTATCTATCTATTTCTTTATTTAGTTCTGCCTGAGTATGATATTTGGTCAAATTTATTTGATAGGAATTGAATATAACCTTTATACCGGCTGATTAACTACCATGCAGTAATATAACTACTGTCAACATGACGTCATTTCCTCCAACGATTTCGCAACGAGTTACCCATCCTATTTAATAAATTTTATTTGATGCTTTTTAATCAGTCAGGTCACAATCATCATCATCGATATCGCAATGAAATCAAATTGAAAATTTTTTTAATTTTTGAAAAATTATCTTCATTCATTTTATGACACTACTTTGTTCAATAAGATAGGAGAATAAATGCAACGGCCTTCGCTCGCTTTCAACGGTCGAACAAGGAGCTTACTTCCGGAGGGGAGTTGGAGGGTGATTTTTTATCGTTCTAGTCAAGATTCAAAAGTTGCGATCGTATATTTACTAATTACGAAATATTGCTTTTATTTAAAAGTTAAAATTTTAATTTTTTTTAAATTGTTATTTAATGTGGTAATTATTTATTTTTATTTTGTATACATTAAAAAAAATAAAACCGACATTACCGAAAATAATTAAAATGTTTAAAAGATTATGATTCTTTAAATATCACTGCTTCAACCCATAAAAAAGTGTTGTACATTGGTAAATAGGCCTCTCCTTTTTCAAGAGATTGAGAATCACACGAACCAAATCACAAATCCCAAAATATCAACTTTACTCAGACAAAAATTGAGCTATAGTACATATTGATAACATTTCGGTGAATTCAAGATACTTATATATCAAAAACTTTGTGATATCCACTAGCAAATTATACATTTCTAAAATCTAAATCTAGTAAAAGTCAAAAATATTCATGTGGCTGCCGAAATGCATCTGATTGTTTGTTGGAACACTGGTAGATCATGTTCCTTTCGGTTGCTGAAGTTCAAAATCTGGTGGTTGTTGATCAAACTTCGGCAGTTGATGCTGAGGTGTTGATGGTTAACATGGAGATAATCGTTGTTGAAAAGTTGACAAAACTGGTTGTTAGTCATAATAAGACTCGTTGCATAGATTTGTATGGTTGTTGTTGTATGAGTTTGTTTGGTTGTTGTTGTTGCGTTTTGTATTCATTTAGTTGTTGTTGCATTAGATTGCATGCTTATCGTTGTTGAAGCTGCTGCATAGGCTTGCTTGCATCCGAAAAATTCTTCAAATCAACCGGAAGATCTGAGCTGGAGTAGCTGATACAAGCTGATCAGATGACAACATGAAATTAGGCAGTCAACCTATGAAACTTTCGAATTTAGTGACAAAAGACTCTAAAAATTTTGTACGAAAGATTCTAAATCGATTTCGTTGTATTGGTTGCTATTCGTTTAGCTGATAAACTAATTTAATTAATTAATTAATGGACTGTAATTTAAATAATAAGCTAGTATTCATATATTCAAAAGCTAGTATTCATATATTCGAAAGCTAGTATTCATATATTCATTAGTTTACGATGTTAAAGTGGTCCAAAATTGTCATACAAAGGATAAATGAAATTATAACTACAACTTTTACTGGTCCATAAAATCATGACTTTGATATTAAACCAGCTTAGCTTTCTTTGCAAGTTTTACAGTCTTTGCTTATTATAATGTGTGAAGCTAGAGTATCTAACTCATTGTGAAAAATTTTTCAATAGAATTCCACAACTGAATCAATATTTCATTATCTACAGAACGTATTATTTACGGTAAGCATTTAAATTTTTTATTTACGAATACGAATCTAACTTTATTCTTAACTATTTATTTATTATTAACCAACTTTATTCACTACATTAGCGTCACATTCCATCTACAATTTTGCTAGTGTGTATTCAGTAATATATAATAATGGTAAATGGCAACAATTAAGTCCTTTCAAAGTGCTACATATCAAAAACTTCGGGATTTTCATTAGCAGTTTTGTATTCGTAAGAATGAGTGCTACACAAATCTAGTATCAAAACCCCAGCCTATTTCTCTACATAAGCAGCCATTAACATACACGCTCTACAATAACGAAATATAATTCATTTTAAAATCATACCTATGAATTCAGACTCTGTCTAGAAATAACTTATTATACATTTTTATTGTTATATATATATATATTATTATTGTTGTATATAATTGATATATATATATATATTATAAAAATTATTATAGTTGTGTGTTGTATATTATTGTAATATATATTATTGTAATATATATTAATATATA